CTTGTCCACTCCCTACAACTATAAATAGGGGATTGACATGACATTCAAGATGATCAAGAAAACTCTTCAACAAGCATTCGGCAATTGGAGAAAGCTACAACATCAACTACATAGCTCTTCGAAGGACTGGTCAACAAAGTTCTTCCCGAAGATCAACTTGAAACGACGAAGCACTTTCCGATGTTCCCAGAGATCAACAACATCTCAAGGAGGTTTACATCATCCAACAATTCGAGAAGCACACTACTAAAGGCCCTCAAATCTTGGAGAAGCTTAGGAGAGAAGAATCAAGAGAACAACAGAATTGTACTCACAACGATTCATCAATAAAAATTACATTTTTCTTTTATTTATTTTGCTTGCAGTCAATTTTCAGCACTAAAGGAAATTTGTTGCGAATAGTCTCATAAGAGAAAATATCTTTTAAATTGAATGAAACTTATCTGTCTATTAGCGTCCAAGTCATTTAATTCTGAATAGAATTTCGACCACTTAGACTTTTAACAATCACGATTGTTATGATGTACTATATCTAAATGCATGGTTAATAGTATATACCCTAACAATCTCTCACTTAGATGTTTAATCTTGAAAGTTGTTAGAATACTATGTCTAAACACATGATTAATAGTATATACCCTAACACTGGGAAACAATTCATATATCCTCAGCATGATTCACGTCACTTTTTTTTGCATTTGGGCGTCACTCAACAAGAATTAGGTGATATTCTCAATTTTTTTGTACTTGTTAGCTCATGAAATTTTTGGAGATATGACTTCTGGGTACTTTTTTTCCAAAACCTTTATAGAATTATTTGTAAGGACGTGGGAAAAAAATTCTTATAGCCTCACCATGATCCAATCCTTTTTCTAAGCATTTAGGGGCCACTCAACAAGAATTAGAAAATTTTCTTAGTTTTTTGTGTATGTTAGCCCATAGATTTTTGGGTGATATAATTTTGAAGCATTTTTTTCCAAAATATTTACAGAACCATCTGTAAGGATATGGGGAACGATTCCTATAGCTTCACGAAACCTCCACAAGGAGTTGAGGGAAAATTATGTGAAGCATCACCATTTGTTTGCACTAGGAGATTTTTAAATTTTCGTGTGTGTTAGCCCATGAATATTTTGGTGAAATGACTTCTGGACGATATTTTTGTAAAACCTTTATGGAACCATCCATATGGAGTTGGGGGGAACGTACGTGAAGTCTCACCCTTTTTCACATATTTTTTCCATTTAGGAGCCATTTTAGAGGAATTAGGCAATTTTCTCAAATTTTCATGTGTGTTAGTATGCCCATGAATATTTTGGTGATCTAGCTTCCGGATAATTTTTTTGCAAATACTTTACGGAACCTTCCGTAGAGATTTGGGGATGAAATACGTGAAGCCTCACCATTTTTGCATATATTTTGGGCATTTAGGGGCTATTTTACTGGAATTAAGCAATTTTCTCAATTTTTCGTGTGTGTTAGCCCGTGAATATGTAATGGCATAGCCCGCTAATGATTTGTCCGCTTTAGGCCTAGACCTGCACGAGTGTAAAACGTGTGACCAGTTGATAAGGTCTGCATACTCATATACCCAACATCTCTCATGTGTTTTACCAATGTGAGACATTTTATCTTTAGATTGGGTGTCATATACACCCCAATTATGGCCTCAGCCTTCTCGCTGAGGTTTGCCCCACCGCATGAGATTGTTCTAGACTTGGCACTAAGGTTTTCCTTGTCTTACCAAAATTTTCCTAAACTCAGTTAAACTCTGGCCCACATCAACAAGGCTGACAAAAGAGTAGCTTTGATACCATTTGTAACGACCCTACTCGCTAGTGATATAGTCCGTGTTGGGCCGAAATGCTTTGGATTGGGGAAAATTGGGCCTAAAATTTTAAAGGCGGGGTAAAGTTAGGCCTAAATTTAAAGAGGGATGAAGGGAAATTTGGCCTAAATTAATGAAGGGTATGGGCTGTAATTTATTTTGGGTAAATGAGTATTTGCTGAATTAGTTTGGATTGGGGTATGAAATTGTAATTATTTTGTGTTTTTTGGCTTATTTATGTAGTTTTCCCTAGAAGAAATATCTTTTGGGTAAAGGATGCTAGCTAACTGAGTTAGTTAACCTAATCCTAAACCATAACCATGTCTATATAAACGCCCGTTACGGGAGTTGGAAAAACAACTCTTAATCGTCCTGAGAACGGCGAGATTTATCTCTACAACACTCAATGATTTTTTGGTTGTGGAACTAGGAATTCATCCGGTCGTGAGGATTCGTGACAATTATTAATTCAAGTCGTAATTGTTGCAGACATTTCATCTACGCTAAGGAGAACTATTGTAAGTCTCAAAACTAGCATTTAATCGTTATATTTCAAGTTTACAATTGTTAATTGAAGTATGAGAGATAAGGTTTTAACTATTCCAATGCAGTATAAAGAAAATTTAAAAAACTTAAGTATTTAAAAGGATATTTTATAAATTGTAAAGAACAAGGAAATTGTAATTCTTTACCTTAGATTAAAGCGCATGTTCTATACCTAAATCCCCTTCTTAAATGAAGTTATAATATAACAATATAAAAGAGGTAAAAAAAAACATGTATAATTTACATAAATCTCATAGTGCTAAGAGTTAATTACATTATTTCCCTACTCTTTTTCAAATTACAAAATTCTTTAAAATTTATGAATTCTGGATACATCACTGGACTTCCGGATACATAAGCAGACATCCGAATACATAGGTGAGAGATGTATCCGAGAGGGGAGGGATGTATCAGAGAGGGGATAGGACATCCGGATACATTATTGGACTTTCTGATGCATCAGTAGACATCCGGATACATAGGTGAGAGATGTATCAAAGAGGGGAGAGATGTATCGAGAGGGGATACATATGTATTAGTGAGAGGAGAGTGATGTATACGAGAGGGGATTTTTGAAATTATTTTAGATGGAAGGGAATTTTAGAATTATGATAAAATAAGATGTGTATGAAGATAATTTTTTCAAAAAACATTAGACATCACATTATCATTATTTTAGACCCAATCCATCCAAACCCACTTTTTTTAATCTATCTCTTAGATTACATCATCAAATATATCTGTTCTACATTAAATATATATTTATTTGGTACTACTTTATCAGCATTTGGTACAATAAATTCAACTTTGTGATAATCAAATTCCCTGATTAAAAAAAGCAATCCAATAATTCCATTTTAAAAAAAAATTGAACTCTTTTGGATGATCTACGGTTGCCACTATTACAACAGATTCAATTATATCAATTATATAATGGGATATCACCATGCACATATTTGTGTTGTTTATCATTTATTCATCCAATGGTGTAATTTAAGTTGTATATTTACTTTTGTTATATTTTTTAGTTTTCATTATTTAAGCCAATTATGATAGGTAAGACACAAAATAGTATCGAGATGGAAAATTGTGATTGGTAAACATATGTAAAAATTCTTTTATTTACATTTTTATTTCATCTTGTTATCAAGGTAATTTTAAAAACAACTACTTCATGCCTCGCTTATCACAATTTTGAGATCACTACAAAAATCTATAACCTTCAAATCATAGATCTGTCTCAATTTAGGATTACTCAATACACATGTTGATAAGAATTAGCATATATTCAATGAAAAAATTAAGTCGTAGGCAAGTTGACCTGAACACAACCCAACAAAAGGAATAAGGTAAAACAAACCATGAAATGGAAAACCCCATAGTATATATATAGTATACATGGATCTTCTCTGAATTTGAAAGGGTGAAGTTTTCTTGTATCATTCCTGGTATTAAAAGCTATGGAATTAGAAATAGTTGAGTTTCACTATTATTATCATCTACATAAAACCAATTTTGTCCATATATTATCATTACTCTTTGTAATTCAAAAGAAACCTCTTCACACATATTAATTGTTCAAATAACAATCCAAAAAATTCAATCTTCTTTAATTTTTTGTTACTTTCTTTCTTTGTTCCTTTATATACACACTGAATCAAGAAAACAAGGTACTTTTTTGTGTTATTTTTTCTCTTTGTATGATTTTTTGAATATATGGTTTACATGCAAATAATGGAATGTATATGTTTATAATTAAGGGAAAAAATATTTGATTTGGTTTCCTTTTTTTTTTTTTTTTTTTTTTTTGCAATGCATGAAGGAAGATGGATGATTTTCATAAACGGCAAGCTGGGATGAAGAGTGTATTGACATGTGGAATTTGCAAAAAGCTATGCAAAGATGTCTCAATTATTGAAGAATGTTGTCACAGATGTAATCACAGATGTAAGAAATTTTTTATCTTTTTAATTAATTTAATTTTGGGGGGTTTATTTTTTTTATTTGAGTGATGTTGATAAATCATTTTTTCTTGTGATTTCATGATGTTGATAAAAAAAATCGGTGATTTTGATAAATAATTTGTTGTTATCATTCCACAATCTTGAATTTTCAATATTATTTTCGTTCTTTCCAATGTTTTTTTAAAAATATTAATTTAGGTGTAATTATTTTTTTTGGGGGGGGGGGGGGATCATTTATTATATTTGTTTGATGTTTGATAAATCATCTGTACATGTGATTTCAAGATCTTGAATTTTTTTAGTTTTTTAGTTCTTTCCATTTTATTTATTTTTACAAATAAAATAAATTTTGATTTTTTTTTATTTTAGGGGTTTCATTTTTGAATTTACTGATTTTGATAAATCATTTGTTCTTGTGAATTGAGTTGAATTTATCATGTTGCTTAATTAAACAGTTTATTTATTTATTTATTAACTTTCTTGTATGATCAGTTTGTTGCATTTGGCCCTAGTCATTAACACTATTGTATTTTTATGTATTATGGTTCAATATTTTTTCTTTTTTTATTTCTTATCACTTTTTATTTCTTAATTCATTATATATCATTTTTAATGGTTTCCTTTTTTTTTTTTTTTTTTTTTTTTGCAATGCATGAAGGAAGATGGATGATTTTCATAAACGGCAAGCTGGGATGAAGAGTGTATTGACATGTGGAATTTGCAAAAAGCTATGCAAAGATGTCTCAATTATTGAAGAATGTTGTCACAGATGTAAGAAAAGGGAGGGGGATCATTTATTATATTTGATTGATGTTTGATAAATCATCTGTACATGTGATTTCATGATCTTGAATTTTTTAGTTTTTTAGTTCTTTCCATCTATTTATTTTTACAAATATTATAAATTTTGATTTTTTTGATTTTGGGGGTTTCGTTTTTGAATTTACTGATTTTGATAAATCATTTGTTCTTGTGAAAATCATTTGTTCTTGTGAATTGAGTTTAATTTATCATGTTGCTTAATTAAACAGTTTATTTATTTATTTATTAACTTTCTTGTATGATCAGTTTGTTGCATTTGGCCCTAGTCATTAACACTACTGTATTTTGATGTATTATGGTTCAATATTTTTTCTTTTTTTCTTTCTTATCACTTTTTATTTCTTAATTCATTATATATCATTTTTAATGGAATTTGATTAATTTATGTTTAGTATTTTTTTACAGTTTGCAAGAATTGCATAATGAGAAAGTTAAAAGAAGAAAAATTGAAAGTTTGTCCAGAATGCAATACAGATTTAGGTGTTGCCCCCTTGCAGAAAATCAGGTATATTCTTCAATTTCGATTTTTGATACAAATTTTAAATGTATTGAATTATTAATTATTGTGATTTATATAAAAAAAAAAAACTTCTAATATGTAAATTTTATTTGAGAAGGCATGAAAATCGTATCAGATAATGTGGAATAGAGAGAGTCATATAGTCCCTTCGTCCTATTTTATGTGAAAGTGTTACTGTTTAGATAATTAAACAAAAAAAAATTTCTTTGAGTACAGTTTTCACAATTTTTTAAATAATTATTTATGTTGACTTACAATAATTTTTTTCAAATATGTTTTGAAGAATTGGTACCCGAATCAATAGTCAAATCAAGTATTTTGACGGCCATATGTTGACTATAGGCTTAAATTGTAAAAACAAAAATACACTTCAAATACAACCCTAGATTATTCTTCTATATGTCTATGATGATATATAAGAGTTCTCTTTATGTTTGTGCTGATAAAAAATAACAAGTATTTGATAAAAACAAGTTAAGGTCATTGTCCTAGACACCACTCGTTTTCAAAATGTAAAAATGGTCATTGTCTTTTGATTTTGGCTTTATTTTTCCATTTGGCTCATGTTATTTGGATACATTATTTATACTCTCTCCATCCTATTATATGCGAAAGTGTTACTATTCGAGGAGTCAAATATTTTGTTTTTTTAAGAAAAGGGTCAAAAATTTCCTTAAACTATGTGAAAGAAACAAAAATGCCCTCTATTTATAGTTTGGCTCAAAAATGCCCTTATTGTCAATACTTTGGTTAAAAAATGCCCTTAAACTATACGAAAGGAACAAAAATGTCATCCGTTTGTAGTTTGGTCCAAAAATGCCCTTGTCATCAATACTTTGGTCCAAAAATGCCCTTGTCGTCAATACTTTGGTTCAAAAATGCCCTTATTGTTATTTAATGGGTCAAAACTGCTCATATTCCAAATAAACATATTATTATTGTTTTAATACATTCTTTTTCTAATAATGTTTTCTTAAAACAAAAGTAGCAAATGTTTATCCTACTTCAATTCAGAAAAAAATTAAAATTAAAATATTTCTTATTTTATTATCATTATTTTTTATCGCTATATAAATATAGATTAATGATGGATATACAATAATCTTATATATGACATATATTATATGTCGAAGGGTACATGAAGTTATTCTATTTTAATTGATAAAATGAGATTAAGAAGAAAAAAAATATTTCCTACGTTTTTATTTGTTAAAGTGATTTTAGAAGAAAGAAAACAAGAATAGTGTTCTTTAATAACATTTTAATTATGAAGAAGATGTGTTTAAAAAGAAAAAAAATATTTATTCGGAAAAGGGCATTTTTGACCCATTTTGTAACTACAGGGGCATTTCTGGACCAAAGTATTGAGGGTAAGGACATTTTTAAGCCAAACTATAAACAGAGGACATTTTTGTTCCTTTCACTTAGTTTAAGGGCATTTTTGACCCTTTTCCTTTTTAAAAAAAAAATATTTTGATTCATTAGCTATGTTGATTAGAGTAATTTTTGTGTATACATTTAATTTTTAAGTACCCAAATTCTTAGTCAAACAAAGATGTTTTTATCATCGTACTGCGTACCCTTTCACATAATTTTAGGCAAAGGAAGTACATATTATAAGTAAAAATTCTCAAATACAAGAACAAGATTTTGACTCAAGGTAATGTTGAACAAGTAAGAAGTACTGTAATTCTGTTCCTCGTATATAATGCTTAATTTTTAGGCCTGATCACAAAAGTGCAAGGGATCAGAGACGCAGTGTCATGTTATATGAATACATTATTTATACTCTCTCCATCCTATTATATGTTAAAGTGTTACTATTTAAGGAGTCAAACAATTTTTTTAAGAAAATATTTTGATTCATTAGCTATGTTGATCTAGAGTAATTTTTGTGTATACATTTTTATTTTTAAAAATTAAAGAATTTATACCCAAATTCTTAGTCAAAATGAGATGTTTTAATCTTCGTACTTCATACCCTTTCACATAATTTAAGACAACGAGAGTACATATTATAACTAAATTTTCAGATACAAGTACATGATTTTGACTCTAGGTTTTGTCGATCAAGTAGACAGAACTATAATTCTGTTCCTAGTATATATATGTGTGTGAAAAGTAAGTATTAATATAACCTTATATAATGCTTAATATTCAAGCCTATCACCAAATGCAAGGGATCAGAGACATGGTGTCAAGTAAAAGAAGAGAATTAATTGAGCGTGGACTAATCGAAAAGTCAAAAAAAGGCAATTCCTATCATGCTCATGGATACTCTACCATCGCCTTCTCCTCCTGCTCCTGTTGTTGTTGGTACAAGTTCAAGGAGAAAACATAAATCAACCTCTTCCACTATAAATGCTACACCACTTGTTCATGATGATGAAATTCTGAATCAACACAACATCTCAAGTAGTAGTACTGGAAAGGGTAGAGGTAGAGGTAGAGGTAGAGGTAGAGGAAGAGGAAGAAGAGGATGTTCGCAAAATGATGCTAATGTTGATCGTTTTCAAGATCCATCTATATTTAATGATGTTGTTGATCTGAATAAGGGAAATACGCATCCAGGAAGCTTAACTCAACATAACAAACATGTACAATTCAAATCTACTTTATGTTTTAGTCACAATCCTAACTCATTTGGGACTGAGGCGCATATATTAGTAGTTGTTCTATGGATTTATTTTAATTATTTTTTTTGAGAAAAGGGAAAGAGGGACGATGTGGAAGAAAGAAAAAAGAAAAAAATATTCCTCCTCCTGTTAGCGGTGGTGGTGATGATAGTGGTGGTGGAACAAATACTAATGTGGCACAATTTCAAGTTACTACTGAGACAATATGAGGTACAAGTAGTGGTAGTACTAGAGTAGTGAATGAAAGAGATCATCCTATTTGGTTCACTTTGGTTGCATGTGATAAGCAGTGACTTTAATTCTATAACTTTCAGTTTTATGTATTACTTCTCTCTATAGTATTTTCATTTATGTGACAATGTTTGACTAGATATGATTGTTTCAGGGAAGGTCCTTCACCCTTACAACAAATTTCTACCCGCTACATAAAGATCAAGTAAGTCTTTAATTACATTTGAACATATATTTACAAAAATATTATGTCCTGCATATATATATTCTTGAAGTTCTAGATACATTTTGATATGTTGCTCATTCATTTTTTTATTTAAACTATAGTAGCCATTGTGTCATGCATGAATCAATTTGGTAAAGGTAATTTTTTTTCTTTTTGTATGAATTCACTCTCAAAAGAAGGAAAGCTAGCAATGACATAACTAGTAAAGTTGTTGCAATCTGACTAGGATATCACAAGTTTGTGTTGTGAAAAATGCAGAATAAGACTGTGTATAATGAACCCTAATAGTCTAGCCCTTTCCTGGACATCGTATAGCGAGAGCTTAATGGATGTGTCCCCCTCCCCGCTTTCTGTGTAATTGCAATTTTGTATCTTCTTTTATACTATACATCTTTTTACTTTTCAAAATACCTTTTAACTTCAATTAATATGTTATACTTCTTTTCTGGTTAAATAGGGATGTGAACAAGCCGTCTTCCTACCTAAAGAAGTACCTTGCACAAAAATTGTGTCTTCAGAGCGAAGACGATGTAATTATATACTTATATCGGCATTCAATATTTGCTCTGATATCTTCTACATGACACCTGATTATTAATTATGAATTTCTGATCCTAATAATTTGAAATGTAGGTGGAGCTTCGCATGTTAGAAATGTTTATTCGTCCTGAATTGCCTCTCAAACATCTAGAAAAAATGTGGTTACGCGTAGCACCTCACTCTGGAAAAAGTTCAGTTAAAGTTGGAGCTTCTGCTGAAGAATTTGTCATGGTTTTGAAATATTCCCGGTCACACCCAAAATTGAATTAGTATATTAACTATGTACAATATTTCAGTTTCTTCTTTTGCTTAGACATTCAAATTTTGCAAGGAGAAAACTTCTTGTTGCATGTTGTTAAACACCTTTAATTTGTGTGTTTTTTTTATAAACTCGATTAAAGGTTTTTGAGTTACTTGTTTTGCACTCTAGCTATCACTTGTTTATTAAGAATTGTGTTTTTTTTTTCTAAAGATGTGTTAGGTTGCATCTTTTTTTTTTTAGATATTGACAGCCAGAGTCAGGGACGAATCTACATCATTAGTTACAGGTTTGACAAACCTTGGCCAGACTATTATATTTGTGTTAAAAGTTTCACTTAATAGGGTATAGAAAAAAAATGTATATCGAATCCAACAAATCATCATGTACTGGAATCAGTGGCATAGCTACATAGATCGACCCAAGGGTGGTTATTTGAACACTCATAATCAATGACTTATTTTATGCATATAGAAAATAATACTAACATCAAAGTTAACAGGTTGAAATGGTCGTAAGTTTGTTCGGATACCAATAAGAGATGGCTTTGTCCACATGTATGATCATGATTGGTGTTCATCTTTTGCTGGGGATTGATTCTTGAGACGAATTGTTCAACATACTATTTTTTCCCGTTACTATCAAACTTCATGAATTATTTTTCCCCATTGATTATCTCAATATACGTCTTGATCATGCTATTAGTTACTTTTCTTGCCAAATTTATATCGCATCGATTTCGAATCAAAAATCATTTTCCTTTCCCTTGAAACCTGCTCATATGAACACATTCTAGTTAAATTTGAGAAAACTTGGTTCTGAGAAGATTTCTTTTATAAACTTCTATAACAGGAATCAGAATTTCCAAATATCGTTTTTCAATTTGAAAACAAAAAATTATACTTTTTTCGATCTTCACGATGAAACATGGTCAAACGTCTTATTTTATGAGTTATGGATCACATTTTTTCTTGGCCATTGTGTTCTGAATATATTACTTATATAGAGTTTGTAGAAAAATTACTTTTTTTCCGCCAAACCAGTAAGTTAAGGGATGGTTCTACCCCTGCATCTATACGGTAGGGGTGATAATTGGATGGGTTGGGTCATATTTAGGTGGGTCAAAATGGTCAAGATCCAACTCAACCCAAATTTGTTTGGGTCAAAACGGTTAAGTAATGGGTCATAACCCAATCCGTCCAATGTTTACTAAGTTTTAATTACTTTTTAAAAAGATTTTAGTAAATAATAAAAAAAATTATTATGGTTATACATAACAGATTAAATTGGCCGAATGACCTTTGAGACTCTTGTACTTGGCTCCGCTTATTGGTTGAACCCTCCTACTCATCACTTTGCCAACTAAACCCTTAAACCCTTCTGAACACAACATGTAAAGCCCTTTTCTCCCCGCCCAACTAAGTAGGAGGGTTCAATTTGGACTACATATCAACTCAATTTTTAATGGATTGAAATGATCTGAGCCCAAACTTAAACAGGTTGGACAGGTTGAATTTAATTTTTTCACACTTAATCTATAGAAATGAAAATGGAAATTGTACTAACCAGTTGAATAAATCCAAGTGAACCTCCAAACCAGTGATGTATGTGAGATTATGCATATCCTTTAAGGAATGGGATATCTTATGATCCAAAATTATCTCTTCACCAGCATGCCAATAACTCCAAAAATAATCTCCAAGTTTTTGAATCAGTCTTGTTTGAACCTCGAAATCATGTTTGTTTACTACTCTCAAAACTTTCACTCCTAATCTTTCAAGCCTTTGTTAATATTCCCAACTCTTGGCCCTGAAAATGAAAATACACAAAGAGGAATAACACGTCCGTCTTCGCGTAAATCTAATTCAATTTCTGCAGTGGCATAAGCACTTAGCATAGCTAAGCCACCTCCCAAGTTGTGTCCTTCTATTTTTATGCTTAATTCCTCATTCAAATATCGATTTATCAGTCTCTTAACTTCGTTAAGAACATGTTATCTTGCTGACAACTTGCACACGTTGCATTGATCGTGTTTCCTCGTGTAGATGTTCAACAATCCAGCTTCAATTTTGATTGTTGGATCGCGACTAGACATGTTGTAATCTCTAGCTAGTTTTTGTAAGTCCATTATATCCGATATCTCCTCAACATCATTTGTTGTTTTCACCAAGAAATTGTTATGTCATGGCATCCTAAGTGTGTTGAGTACTCATCATTTGATACTGCAACATAGCCAATCCAATTTGCTTGGTGACTCAAATTACCAGGCCAAATTGAATGAGTGAGGCATTTGGAGACATCATAGCCATGTTTTTCACCACTAGTGACTTTGGAAAATAAATTAGGATCGATGCTAAAGTTATGATTCAAATTATGTACAATGGTGATTTTGAAAAAGAAACTAGGATCGATCTTACACCTACGATCAAAATCATATGCATTGTGACATACTTGTAACATATCTCCGTAACATATTGGCTCTGCTTGTAACAGGGGATCAATAGGGTCAATCATCCCTTCCCAATCATTTCGACCATGTAACGACTTGAACTGTCGTTATTTAAGAAGGGCAAAATGTCATGAGTAACTGGACCCATTATCCCGCCAGAGCAGAGTGATGCCGCTATGGCGGCAGTGCCCAACGGGATGGGAGCGTTAGAGCAGGATGGTCGGGGGAAGAACTTAATGACGCAAAGTCTTATTTTCTCTTTTTCCCCAAGTGCCAAAACGAGGCGAGGATCACCTCAGAAACCCTCAAAAGGCTACTCTAGGCTTGGGAAGGAAGGAGGAATAGATTTCTAGAATAAGGTCGACGATAACTCGCTGATTCCAGACCAAAATCCACCATCTCGTTGTTCGAAAGCTAGTATTGGAGCTACAGCCCCTCTGCACCTGCTTGGCGCCCAGGTAGGCTAGGTTTACTTACTTGAGTAGTCATAAATTCGTGCTTACTGCGTAATATATTGTTAATTGACGGTAGAATTCATGTTTAGGCCTTCGGGCACTGAAAATAGGGCGGTTGTACATGTACCCATAGCTGTTAAATGAGATGTGCGTCGTGGGGGAAAGCCTCGTCTGAGGAACTAGGGGTAGGTGATGGTTCGACTTCCTATTGTTTTATATATGCTTGTAAATTGCTCCATTGTATGCATGTATGTGAATAGGGAAACATGAATTGAATCTAAGGAAATGATTAAGTATGAACAATTACATTCCATGAACTTGTTGATTGACTGTGTGACTATGTGCACCGTTCATTATGGGTGTGATTATGACTGTGGTTGTGCTGACTGGACCGAGTGTCACGTTCTTACACATACATTGGACCGGGTGTCATGTTCCGACACATATATTGGACCGGGTGTCACGTTTCGACACACACACACATATATATATATATTGGATCGGGTGTGACGTTCCAACACACTAACAGTTTGAGCGTGGGTTTCATGAGAGAACCATTTGTGACTACTATATTCATATCTACTTGTCATTGCTATTGGGGAATTGTATATTATTCCTAAAATGATATTGGAATTATGCATCATGTATATGTGTGTTTACTGTGTTGTAATTAATTGTTTATATCTTTTTTACTAGAATTAACAATGAATGATCATGCCCAATCGGTAGGAGGTCGGGTAAGTGGAGACTGAGGGTCCAGGTGTTATTATCGGCTATTTTTAGAGAGGTTGTTTGTGTTCTTAGGCAATGAGAAGTAGGGTAGTGTTCATGAGGCACAAGTACATAGGTCCTACCTTGGGAAGGGGATTCGTATTCGAAACGACTATCGAGCCTTGATAGGGTATACTATGTGGTCAAGGGCTGAATGGTGATGCAGAAGAAGCGAGGGGATGTCGTGAGTGGTTGGTCAGGTTAGTAGTGGTTGTATTCGGGAACTACTCCATGAGATAAAATGGTTAAGCTATGATCAAGAGCAGAGCGAGCAGGGTGATAGAGTAGGGGGTTAGAGGCAAGTGTACTACTACATTTAAGGTATACGGGAATGGTAAAGGTTGGAGGATAAAGGTTGAGGGGTGTACTTTCTTGTTGCATGCTTCTTGCTGGTTGATTTCTTTATGTTATGCGGTGGACAGTGGGTTGACCGATGATGCCTACCAGTACGTGTGTTTTGTAATGATACTACTCTTGCTATGCCTTTGGCATAGTTTGGTTGCAGGGTCAGCGATGTTTCATAGGTGAAGACGAAGACAATCTCCAACAACTTCTACTCTTTCTTCCTTGTGGTGAAAGTTGTGTCATTAGCTATTGTATTTTATACCCTATAATTTTAGAACCTCTTGTACCTGTTTAGACTAGATCACTGGGGGCGTTAAACTTTATTTTACAAATTTAACTTTGGATTGTTTAAACTTTTATTTATGTAACGATCTCATGAATTTCATTTTATCTCTAGTTTTCTTAATTTTCCGCATATTTTTGACCATTTGGGGACCAAGGCTCCTCCTACTTATGTGTTAGAGTAGGTGCCCACACGGTCCGATGGGTTGGGTTGTAACAAATTGTTATTAGAGCCTAAGTTGCCGGTCTCCCTGTACAAGAGAAAAATACGAAATAGAGTCATGTGGATTGGTGTGTTGATGTCTACATCTAATCTTCAGGAAGCTATGGAGCATTCTACGAAGTCGTTACATTTCTTTTCTTCTTCCGTGCGGGTTGTCAATTGTGGTATGGGTTGAGTCCAATTGGTATCTTCAGATTCCAATTGGTATCTCAACAAAGTGAACTGGATGTCGTAGTCGCGGCTGAAGGGACACAAGCAAGGTAAATTGGAACCGAGAAGGTTCCAATTAGTATATGGCCTTAGAGGCTGTATAAAAGCATGGTAGATCAGCTAATGGTCATCCATGAAGTGAATTAAGTTAATAATTTTGACTTCCTTGTGTGATGTAACTTGAATTTATGATTATGTGCGTAGTGTTGCCTGTCTAGATTTTGATGTGTGCAGTGTACTTGCCTAAAAGTTTGAAAGTAGGTGGGTTATGATTGC